GTCACAATGGTGGCTCCATCTTTTATATACAGTCTATTAGTCTGCAGCCGAGATCTAATTCTGTTTTCTCTGAAGCATCACTCAAATTTAGATTCCTTGAAATGCGTGCAGAATCGCCCGTAGAGCAAATTTAAACTCAGATGAACTTTCCTGATTGAGACGATGGAAAACTTGCTCACTTAAGCCAAGTTCTGGATTAACGGGATTAATTGCAGAGTATTTATCTGCAGCGGAAGAACAGCTTGTGTAAACATTATGTAGCAGGAGATTGATTAATTTCTCAATCGTTTCCCTCTCAAGGTCATTCAGTGTCAGCACCCACCGAGTACGGGGCATGAGGCCGGTTTGAAGGCCTCGCATTGCAGACAGCGGGCGTCCAGGAAGTCGCTGTAGGACGAGCAGGGGTAACCGGTGAGGGTGCAGGTTCGGTTCAGAGCGCACAGGAACAGGAAGACGGAGCGCTGATGGTCACACACAAAGTAAGATTTACCTGGAGGACAGAGATCACAGTGCGCTCAGCACATGTGTGTTATTTAATGTGTGTGTGTGTCTCCCTAGTTTGTGTGTGGGCTCACCTGAAAAGATGGTTTTGGGACACCCCGGCTGGTCGGCGCCTCCGTTGGCGTAGAAGTCAATGTGGCCATGAGCTCCTCTCAGTCCAAAGGCTGCACAGAGAGAGCACAGCGTGTAACACAGCGACTCTTACATGAGCTCACGAAGGTTTATTGCTTTTTAATAAATACTTTCTAGGTTCATCTCACAGGCGTTCGCTTCTTTCTTCTTTCTCATCGACTCGCGCAAACTCTAAATATACATATTTATATATTCATGGTTGTAACGCTCTCAGTGAGAGGGGAGATGTTCTCTAAATCTGACTCCAGAGTTTAGATAAAAGGGTTCAGTTAAGCTTTTTATTTTATTCTGTTTTAAATTTTAAGTTTAGTTTATTTATACATTTAAAAACCATGATAACCTTTTTAGTGATAAAATAACAACATTAATCATTTTCATTTATTAATAATTATACCTATATAACTATATAATGATTTAAATTTAAAAAAAATAATTAATTTTTTTCTAATGTAAACTTTTTTATTATATATTTTTGTATGGCTGAATATTTTGAATGTTCATAATTAAAAACATTTATAATAATATTTATATTTTTAATAAAAAGGTAAGATGTGTTAAATAGAATTAATTAAAATTATATTAACATTTTCATTCAGTTATATAACTATATATATATAACTAATAATTTAAGAAAAAAATAATGTTTATAAACAGAATTATCTCTACTTCTAATGCCAACCCTTTTTATTAATAAAAATGTGAAATATTTCCAAATAACAATAATAATTCATAATAATATTCATGCTGTTAGTTTATGTAAAAGCATATTAATACAAATAAGTAAAATATAATTAAATATATAAGTCTGAATAATTTATGATCAGTAAATATATGTATTCATCTATAAATAAAAGGATTTATTGTAAAAGAAGGAAAGAGATTTTAATGATTTAACAGCTAATAACGTAAAAACATTGTTAGGGATCTGCGACTGATTAATAGAAGATCCTACAAGAGCTGCTGTGACCTCACAGGCAACACTCGTGTTTGTAAATTAACAGATTTGTTTTTTGTTCCTCACACCATGACAACTAAAAGCTATTTATTTCCCAGTTGCTTTCTTTGTGTGTAAATGATCAAAGTAATAAGGGTCAATATTAAAATGATATTACATCACTATTTAAATTATTATTATTTCTGTGTTAGATGCTTACAGTTCATGTCGGTGTGAAGGACGTCCACAAACATGGCGTCTGAAGGGTCCAGCCTCTCCTCCGGCGTGGCCCTGGTGAACATCGGTCCAGCAGGGTCCAGCCCTGGAGAAGAGGAAGGAAAGAAGGGAGGAAGGAAAGAAGCAAGGAAGCATGTGAGTGCTTTTGTAGTTTTCCATCTGCTCACTCCACAGCGCTGCTTTCATTAAACTGAAAGGTTAAGAACATCTGACATAAATACATGATAATGAAGTACATTTACTCGCATACTGCACCGCTCTGAGTACTCTGAGTACCTGTGATACGGCCAATCTTCCCCTTCAGGTTTGCTCCCACAAAACCAGCCAGGTGAGCTCCCAGACTGACGCCGATCAGGTGAACTGAGCTCAGAGAGGCTCCTTCAGCCTGTGGGCACAAAAGCTCAGCGTTACAGGTGAGGTATAACTCTTTTAAATATACAGGATAATAAAGAACATGACAGAACTGCTGATTTTAACACAGACATGTAATCTAATCTCTTTTTCTTTACTAAAATTTAAAGTGCCCACAAGGTGGCGGAAATACCAAAAGCACCAAAACTTAGATCCATTCTTAAGTACTTGAAGGACCTGTAACCTGGGAAATATTTAATACTTGTCATTTAAAAACATCTGTAGACTGGCTGAACTGGTAATTCTAGGCTTTGAGCAGGACTTCTTGGGTAGAGAAATGGATTTGGAGCCATTTAGAGCATTTTAATGTATGTTTCTGATAAATAACACATTAGTTGAATGAACAATCTGTCCAAAGTTTGTGAAGTTTTATGTAATCTGTTTTGTGTCTTTGCATTGCATTGGTACACTTTGCCGACTGAGACTAGAAACAACTTGAACCATGGCCACTGCTGGCTCTAATAATCCTAGATGGTGAGAACCGTGAAGCTTAAGTGGACGTTCAAATCTTAAACTTATGAGTGATGCTGCTTCTATTGGTCTATTGGTTCAACAATAGACTGCAGGATGATTACAGGAAGGGAAAATAAAAGTCTGGGCTGAAGGTCTGTCTCACCTCCATCGTCATGATGAAGCCCGTCAGGTTGAGAGCGGCCTCTCTGGTGTAACTCACAGCAGTGAAGTAGTTGAGGTTGGCTGCCCCTTTGTTCCAGTCCACCACGATGATGTTCATGTCTTCCTGCTCTGCTAGCAGGTGGACTATGTGGTTGATCCAGATAGGGGGCGCGCCGGTGGGCCGGTAGCCATGGATGACAAAGGCGGTGGGACGGGAGAGGTTGAAGAGCGGCTGGGAGGACAGGTGGCGGTGGTTCAGTTCGCGGCCACAGTCGAGGTTGGAGCGAGTGTAGAGCAGGAGTCGCACGTACAGGCTGGTTCCCACGAAGCAGTGGGTCAGGTCGAGGTCGGTGAAGTTATCACAAGATTCGCCTGCTTTACTTTCCTCCTGGCCTGGAGTCACAACATGGAAGATCAGGAAGTGCAAACTCAACTTTTACAGATGAATTCAGGTTTTATGTAGAATTAAAATGAAAAACTGCTCCAAAGTTTCTACAGGCTACAGTGGGAATATTTGTTTCATCCATTTCAGTTTAGTAGATTTTTATATCATTTTAAAGCTAAGGCACTAAAAAATTTCAAGGTAAAGAGTCAATGATACTAATGAGCCCCAACAATCAGTCTGACTGCTGTAGACCGCAGCTCTACAGGAATATCAATCTTTATTTATGATGACAATATTAAAGGCTAATATTTTTAGCTAAATAACAGCTTCAAGCAGACAGCCAGTGTCATCATCCTGGATGATTCATAAACTGAATCATGGATTCAGGCTGACAATTTCAGATTCAGGCACAATCCACAGACGGACAGTAACAGGTTCAAAAACTGTGAAACTGCAGCAGTTTGAAAGGAATTTCATTTTTTAGCTTCTTCACATTACTTTGGATTGTGTTAAATGAAAAATAAAGACTATTAATGACTCATTTTATGTTATTGTGTAATAATTGGTTTTGAATTCAGATAATAGCCTATCTACCAACAGGTTTGCTAGTTAGAGTTAATTAATTAATTAAAAGTAAGATTTAGTTAGTTAGCTTAAGCTAACTAGCTTAAGCTAACTAGCTTATAGCTTAAGCTAGTTAGTTAGTTACTAGCTAAATAGCTAGTATTTTGGCTTAAGCTATTTAGCTTAAGCCAAAATACTGTCATCAGCAGTGTTGTTTCATTCCACACACTCGTCCCTCTACAAATAAACCATAAAATAAAAAAACATCTCAAACTGCTTGCTAAAACCAATGATTAATGTTGTGTTGCGGTCTACGTCTTAAATTAGCATTAGCTACATGTTAAAGCTAGCTAGTCAGCTTTGTAGTTATATAAATGAGCTGATTTATGCAGCGAGTGATAAAATATAGGATTTGTTAGTGCCTTTTTTGAATTAATAAAGTGTAGACAGGCTCTGTAGTACTTCTTTTGTAGTTTGCAGAAACATTAGCCTAGCTTAATAGCTTAACACAGCTGCTATTTCTATTTTAGTAACAACTTTTGTCAGACCGCTACATGAATTGGGACTTGACAGTCTAAACCTTCTGGGACTGTATTCTCTTATTGAACTTGTTCCATCTCAGAGGAGAGATGAAAGGTATCTTTGTTTTCCATAATAATTTGTGAAAACTTCATCTGTCATAAATCACAGATAACTGAGCAAAGAAACTTTCTGAGCTCCTTTTTTTTGCTAAATTTGGTCTGAATATGAAGTAGAAACATTTTCTTCTGCAGATATGATATAAAGTTGAGTTTAAAGATGGCCTGTTATGTTTTTCCTTATTTAATTTTTACAAATAATCCCCAGTCTAAATGTACTGCTTCTCACAGAGGGGACAGCCTTAGGCACAGAAGCCCCACCCATCTGATGCTTGAACCTTCTGATTAAAAGGGGCTTCCAATCACAGTGAGGGACGGAATAAATTCCTTGTTTCAAAGAGACACAGGATGAATTGAGGGGCTACACTCAGGTCTAGTCAGGTCTAGTGTGAGATAAATAAGGATTATTTTGCTCTCTGAATTTTGCAGTACTATTGTAGATATATTTGTATATTTGATCTTTTTTGAATTGGGACTGTTCATATGTATATAGTGCCGCAGAACTGTGCACCTTACCGCCCCTCTCTTTTCCCACGTCTGCACTGGGTAGGAGATGCTCTAAATCTCATCGTACATGTGCATATTGACAATAAAAGGTATTCTATTCTATTCTATTCTATTCTATTCTATTCTAGTAAAGCTAAAAATGGGCATAATGTCCACTTTAAACCCACACCTGATGGCAAGTGTTGTCTTGCTTGCCCTAGCTTGTGTATTGCTAATTTCTTGACATATTTCCTGTCACTGGACTGATGCAATGACTGATATTTATCACCTACAAATATAAGAAGCATTTATTGACCCATGCAGGCAGCTCAAAATAAAACAACAGAGTGTAAATCTGGCTGTCGTTAGCTGTGAGAGAATGTTCTCATGACCAGGTCAAAGGTCATTAGATTAGTTTACAGTTCAGTGCGCCTGTAAACGCTCGGATCAGGTCTATTTTTCCACTGGGTGTTAGTTTAGCCTCTTTAGCTCTGTGCTGATTAATCTCAGATAGCAGGGAGTCTCGTTAGCTTGTTTAAAGTGTCTGTAGCCTGCATGTTGTCAACTACACAGACTGTGCAGCACTTAGTGTGACTGGGTTAAAACCATGCTTATTATTAAAAGGTTTGTTGTTTGTGAGCCCTTTCCTCTAAAGACACTCATTCATGATTGTCACCATCCTGATGCAGAGGCTTAAGAAACCCAGGAGAGCGTTTTTAATTAAATTAGGAGAAATAAGTGAATACTTGTGAGTCAATCTGGGCTGCACCTTTATAGTTTTTGCAATCTCAGAGGTCTCTACAATCTGCCCAAACAGGATATTTTTAACGTTTCAGTTCCTTCCATCATAAGAGCTGCACATGGGGTGAATCTTATTATAATACACCCGTCTGGATACTGGAATTAGGGGCACCTGGATTGACAGGTGTCTTGACGCCGGAAGCTTTAGCTGTTAACTGTTTGCTAAGCCTCACCTTTGCTGACTTGAGTAACTAAACTGGACCTCTGCACAGTGTTTGTGCTGCATAAAGCCTGCACGAAGTCATCTCAGACTCAGTTAGCGTGCTAAATGTTAAACTTCATGACAGCACAATTAGAACAGACTGATCAAGTATAGAAATGTTTGAAAGAGTTGCCAGGAGAAAGGCTCTTCTCTCTAAAAAGAATGTGACAGTGCAGCTTAGGTTTGCAAAACTGGAGATGTTTGACCATAATGCACAGCACCACATTTGGAGAAAACCAATCATCACAAGCGCCTCATACCAGCTGTCAGCACGTAGGTGGAGGGCTGACGATTTGGGCACCGTGCAGTCAACCATGAACTCCTCTGTATACCAAAGTATTCTAGTCAAATGTAAGGCCATCTGTCTGACAGTCAAAGCTTGGCTGAAACTGGGTCATGCAACAGAGCAATGACCGCCAGCACAGCAGCACATCTACAACAGAGTGGCTGAAAGAGGACAGAACAAAAGTGCTGCAAAGTCCAGACCTCAGCCTGACTCAAATACTGTGATGGGTCCTAAAGAGAGCTGTGCATGTGTCCACAAACCTCAATCGACTGAAAAAACAATGTAAAGACTCCACAATCATGTGAGAGGCTAATAAAGCCAAACAGAAAACAGTTCATTCATATAGATTATTACAGCTCTGCTGACTGTGTCCATCTTTTATATACAGTCCAGATCAGTGCGTGCGTTATGGGTTGGGGTTTTGACTTCCTGTGTGAGCAGCTCTCACACCTGAGCGCAACACTGCCCTCAATGGGATCAGACTGCTATAAAAAAGCACTCATCCAATCAGCACCCACCCGGAGCACAACCGGTGATTACAGCTGACACACACACACACACACACACACACTAGTAAACTATATTAATGAGTGGATAACAGGCTGCTTATTGACTTTAACACCACCAGACAGAAAGTCCTCACTGGAGCAGAGTCGGTGTTCACTTCTGTTCCTCACACTTCAATAAGCTCTTTCTCACTCCACAAACACTCAGAGTGTCTGTTTCTGTTTATTTAGACAAACAGACATAATTATTTTTAACTTTATCTTGAAGATAAAGCTGAGCATAAATCAGGTTTAAGCTTTTGCTCTGTCGGAAAACTGGACTTTTCTTACCTTTGCAGAGCACAAGGAGCCCCAGCAGAGCCAGGAGCTTGCAGGACAGCATCCTTCCCACGACCACAGTGACGCAGAGACAACGATCAAGCCGAGGAGACTCGCTGTGAGGAAGGTAGGAGATCTAAATGCAGTGTGAGGACAACTGAAAGGAGGAGGGACTGCTGAGAGGGAGGGAGGGAGGAAAGGAGGTGGTGTCTTTACTTGGATCAGTTTCTAGAAGAGTGGAGAGAGGAAAGAACCAATGATAGTAAGAACATTAAACAAATGAGATAAAGGAAAGGAGCGTGAGCTGATGGAACGAGGAAAGAAAGGACAGAGGAAGGAGGATTTGATTTGTGGTGAAAGGAAAATAAAATCATGTAATGTGATTTAAAAAAGGTGAAAGCTTCAGAGCTTCAGGGCAGACGATCACTTCATAATCCAGGAATTAAATTTTACAAAACCTGACACCTCCTTTAATATTTAGCACAATGAGATAAAATGTGTTTCTTCAGTTAATAGAGTGAACAGAATAGAGAATCTCGCTTCCCAAGGGTGAAAAACATGGAAATCAATGATTCCAGAGGTGAAACAGCTGTTTCACCAAAATCATTTTCATTATATGTAAATGATTATTTACATAGATTTATACCTGCTGCACCAAACCAAACAATTGATGCTCCTGACTGAAACTCTGGGGTTAAGAAGTTTTTGTGGAGATGAAAAGAAGTCAAGAAGTTTTTCTTGCTCTCAAAGAAAAACTTTAACAAACTTTTCAGTTTTTTAAAAAACTTGCTCCTGAATGGATCCAGAGGCCGTCCAGGAGAAGAAGTCCACTTCCTGTTAATTCCAAAAAGTTGATTCTGTGCATCTGGACGTAGCGTTTTTATGGGAGGAACATTTTGTCACTCATCCCAGTGACTTCTTCAGTCTCAGCTGACTGCCGGCTTCCAACCTTATAAACATTACCTTTGCACAATGACTGAAAACAGCTGAAAACGTTTCTCCCACTGATCGCTACGTCCAGATGAACAGAATCAAGTTTTTGGGATTTACTTACCCGGATGATTGAGCATGCACTTCCTGTTAACTTTGTTGTACAGAAACTGGCTGCCATTCAGACAAGAGCACAGCAGGGGGCGCTTGTGAGATAGTCCCAAATGAATGGGAGTGAATGGAGCTAAAGGTAAAAGTGCTTAAGCCTGCTGTCACACCCACAGTGGGTGGATCTGCATGTCTCATTTAGCACAGACGCCCTTCCTCACGCAGCGTTCCCATGTATCCAGGTCTGTGACCGGTGCTGCAGCACGCATGACTTATGACCCCCCATGTTGGCGCATCTCCTCTCAGAATCGAGTGAATGGACCTAAATTGCCAACATCATGATTAAGACTTGCTTCTGGGTGTCCACGGCGCTGGCGTGCGTTTTTACAAGAAAAAACACAAAACAATGACAAGAGTTTACAGAAGAAAGGTTAAAAGGATCTTCATTCGTTCTGATCTCAAACACTCCGCCTATGAAACAGGAAGTTGTTCGCCATGATTATCCAGGTCACATCTGTCCATGTGACCAGCAGTGAAATGTTCCTCTTCTTCAGCCTAAACATCATTACATCCTCTTACTACACAAACAGCAAACCGATCCTGAGGGAATCATAAAGTCTCAAGGACACAGTGTTTGTTTTTCAAGAGATGAACTGATCAAAGGAGTAAACTAGAAGCCCTCCACAGTCAGGATGTGAGCTTCTCCAAAAGCAGCCCTCAGATCTCTTTCTATGTGACCCTAAACAAATCCTTTCTGTCACTTTCATTTTCAAGACTCTCTGTAAGAAAGGGTCGAAGTGTTTGTGTGAGGATCTACTGTGAAAAAAGAAAGAATAAAAAGACCAAGCAGGCGGAGTTTAACCTCTCAGTGTGGGTTTATGTTGTGTCTGCAGATTTGAAGTTTTAAAGATAAATTTTGCAGCTCGTGCTGAAGGTTGAGCCTGTTGTGTTGCACATTACCCTGCCAGCGAGGTGACCCACTGATTAGTGAGGGATGATTATGGGTGAAGTCAGAGACACCCACCCAGTGATGGGTAATAATAGCTCCACAGACTCTGACCACAGTGCACCCAGCCCATCCTGGCCTGTACTCGACACAAACACATGTAATTTACCATCTACAGAGAGCCGAGGCCAGAAGCAGAGAGCTACAGTAACGTCAGAGCTAAAATCATGCAATTAGTGGTGGAAACAGGAGCCTGCTTTACTGTTCAAATGCATGTAGTATGCATAGAGAGTTTAATTAAACTGTTTCTAATCTAAGCAAGGGTTACATTCACAATTTTACTGTCACCACGAGATTTCGGTCATGAAAGAAAAATCGTACAGATTTGCTCTGTACTTGCCCTTTCAGAACTGCAAGCCTAAACAGGTTTTGCAAGATGGCTGCGCACGTAGTTGCAGCAGCTCAGTGTCCCACCGACCGATGTTTGGATAATTCTGTGTAGAAAAGGTGACAAGCTTCCTGGGAGTCAACACAGAGGAGAAGCTTTCCTGGAGTGCGAACACCTCCGAGCTGCTGAAAAAGGCCCAACAGAGACTTCCTGAGATTTCTCAGGAGGAATAAACACAGAGACTGCTGGTGTCCTTCTGCAGAGACACCATTGAGAGTGTTCTAACCTATTGCATATGCATCTGTTACACTAGCTGCACAGTGGCTCAGAGGAAAGCACTCCAAAGGATCCTTAACACCGCCCAAAAGATCACCGGCTGGCTTCTCCCCACACTGGAAGATCTACACAAGAGCCGCTGTCTTAAAAAGGCCCAAAACATCATAAAAGAAACTTCACATCCTGTTTGAACTGTTGCCC